ACAGTACCCCTCCAATCTATACTAAAGGAGCTATCCCAGTCGAAATAAGTCCACACCCGGAGAAAGTCCATTCACCAGCCGCACGCACAGACTCAACAAGAACTTCCGTGGAGCTCTCAAGAACTTCGCTTGACTTGACAAGCACCACTTTTAAGGTTAGATATGGCGATAAAGATATTCAAGGAGATATACAACCCAACTTTAATTATAAAGAACTACTCTTTACTATATTGAAAGCTATAGTGACTTGTGTGCCACTGTATGCTATGCCTGCTGGATACGCTGTGGGTCTTACAAACACACCACTTCCACATTTTGTTACTAAACTGATTTCGATAATAGCAGGAGGGAATACTTTACTCTCATTTGTTGTACTTGGACTGTTCTTTGAATGGAAAAACAAAACAAGAGTCGTTTTCATCGCACTTAGAGCCGTTATTCTTCGTGTTATTATTGGTGCTACAGTGGGGCTAGCACTCTTCTACTCACTAGCCGGCACTATTACAACAATCACTCGTTCGATTATTTTATTGTGTTGCCTTTGTCCCGCACCACTGCTTAACATTATATATAGTGTGGAGTATAAAGCCGCACGACTTGATGTGTCGGCGGCTATCGTCTCGTTCTCCGTCGTCTCGGGATTTATATCAACACTCCTCTTATTAATATTGTGGTGCCTAATTGATTATTTTCTGTTTTAGCTGTTAACCATCGTGAAGTTATATCATTAATAACTCACATAAGTAACTTGAAAGTCTTCTACTTCTGGTTCTCAATTCGAGACTGCTTTATATATTTTATAACTATTCTTTTTTAATTGTTTTACTATAATTTGACTTATTATTTATGTATTATAGTAATTATTAATTTATTACTGTTGTTTATTGAATAAATGGTATATTAAAAATATACTATATATTATTTTTAATAATACTACTTTTATTATTTCTATATTTTTTACATAATGTCAGTTTTCGTTGATAAATATTGATATTCTTTTCGATATGTACAATATTGTAGTTATAGTATAATATATAGATTGTTTATAGTAACTTACTGATTTTACAAACTGATCGAATAAAATAGAAAGCAACAACTATAACGGACATTTCTTACCAAACTCCAATAAATTATTCCCGATTAATTGCTCACAAATAACGGCAACACAAATCAAAAGAGGAACACCAAACAATTCTTTTGTGCTTCTTCAAGCCTTCGAGTTGTATTTGGAGGTGATAATGTGCTAAAACTGATAAATTTGTATGGCGGTGAATCTGAAGGAGTATCTTCCTTATATCAAATCGTTCTTTGTTGGGTGCTGTTTCTTTTTACTATTAGTTGGGTATCAGACCACGCAAAATTTCCAGTCTGGAGTGAACAAGACAGATGGGTATATATCGATAGCACTTGTCTATGGGTGTTATGGGATATCGCAGTTTTTCACTCCGTTTTTGGTCCACATATTATCTCCGAAGTT